CCACACTCTGCCATGTGCCACTTTCAGGTCTCCTCACACTGCTGGTGGGTTTCCATTTTGTCATAGGGTGCTGGCAGATTACGGGCCTCCCATTGCTGCTGCCAGGCCCGTAATCTGCCATGGGCCCCTGTACCGCCCGCCTCCTCATGCTGCTGCCAGGTCCAGAGTCTCTCATGGGTCCCTGTACGGCCTCCCATTGCTGCTGTCTCCATCGCCACACACTGCCATGTGCCACTTTCAGGTCTCCTCACACTGCTGGTGGGTTCCATTTTGTCATAGGGTGCTGGCAGATTACGGGCCTCCCATTGCTGCTGCCAGGCCCGTAATCTGCCATGGGCCCCCGTACCGACTCCTCATGCTGCTGCCAGGCCCCCAAATCTGTCATGGGCCCCTGTACCGCCTCCTCATGCTGCTGCTCCAGGTCCAGAGTCCAGAGTCTCATGGGTCCCTGTACGTCACGGCTCCCCCATTGCTGCTGTCTCCATCGCCACACTCTGCCATGTGCCACTTTCAGGTCTCCTCACACTGCTGGTGGGTTCCATTTTGTCATAGGGTGCTGGCAGATTACGGGCCCTCCCATTGCTGCTGCCAGGCCCGTAATCTGCCATGGGCCCCCGTACCGCTCCTCATGCTGCTGCCCCCGTAATCTGGTCATGGGCCCCTTACCGCCTCCTCATGCTGCTGCCCAGGTCCAGAGTCTCTCATGGGTCCCTGTACGGCCTCCCATTGCTGCTGTCTCCATCGCCACACTCTGCCATGTGCCACTTTCAGGTCTCCTCACACTGCTGCTGGGGTCCATTTTTTGTCATAGGGTGCTGGCAGATTACGGGCCTCCCATTGCTGCTGCCAGGCCCGTAATCTGCCATGGGCCCCCGTACCGGTCTCCTCATGCTGCTGCCAGGCCCGTAATCTGTCCATGGGCCCCCCGTAATCTGCCATGGGCCCCTGTACCTCCTCATCATGCTGCTGCCAGGTCCAGAGTGTGTCATGGGTCCCTGTACGGCCTCCCATTGCTGCTGTCTCCATCGCCACACTCTGCCATGTGCCACTTTCAGGTCTCCTCACACTGCTGGTGGTTCCATTTTTTTTCATATAGGGGCTGGCAGATTACGGGCCTCCCATTGCTGCTGCCAGGCCCGTAATCTGCCATGGGCCCCCGTACCGCCTCCTCATGCTGCTGCCAGGTCCAGAGTGTCTCTCATGGGTCCCTGTACGGCCTCCCATTGCTGCTGTCTCCATCGCCACACTCTGCCATGTGCCACTTTCAGGTCTCCTCACACTGCTGGTGTGTTCCATTTTGTCATAGGGTGCTGGCAGATTACGGGCCTCCCATTGCTGCTGCCCAGGCCCGTAATCTGCCATGGGCCCCCGTACCCGCCTCCTCATGCTGCTGCCAGCCCCAGGTCCAGAGTGTCTCATGGGTCCCTGTACGGCCTCCCCTCCCCCTTACGCTGCTGCTGTCTCCATCGCCACACTCTGCCATGTGCCACTTTCAGGTCTCCTCACACTGCTGGTGTGTTCCATTTTGTCATAGGGTGCTGGCAGATTACGGGCCTCCCATTGCTGCTGCCAGGCCCGTAATCTGCCATGGGCCCCCGTACCGCCTCCTCATGCTGCTGCCAGGTCCCGTAGGTCCAGAGTCTCTCATGGGTCCCTGTACGGCCTCCCATTGCTGCTGCTCTCCATCGCCACACTCTGCCATGTGCCACTTTCAGGTCTCCTCACACTGCTGGTGGGTTCCATTTTGTCATAGGGTGCTGGCAGATTACGGGCCTCCCATTGCTGCTGCCAGGCCCGTAATCTGCCATGGGCCCCCGTACCCGCCTCCTCATGCTGCTGCCAGGTCCAGAGTCTCTCATGGGTCCCTGTACGGCCTCCCATTGCTGCTGTCTCCATCGCCACACTCTGCCATGTGCCACTTTCAGGTCTCCTCACACTGCTGGTGGGTTCCATTTTTTTGTCATAGGGTGCTGGCAGATTACGGGCCTCCCATTGCTGCTGCCAGGCCCGTAATCTGCCATGGGCCCCCGTACCGCCGCCTCCTCATGCTGCTGCCAGGTCCAGAGTGTCTCATGGGTCCCTGTACGGCCTCCCATTGCTGCTGTCTCCATCGCCACACTCCATGTGCCACTTTCAGTCTCCTCACACTGCTGGTGGGTTCCATTTTTTGTCATAGGGTGCTGGCAGATTACGGGCCTCCCATTGCTGCTGCCAGGCCCGTAATCTGCCATGGGCCCCCGTACCGACCGCCTCCTCATGCTGCTGCCAGCCCGTAATCTGCATGGGCCCCTGTACCCGCCTCCTCATGCTGCTGCTGCCAGGTCCAGAGTGTCCATGGGTCCCTGTACGGCCTCCCATTGCTGCTGTCTCCATCGCCACACTCTGCCATGTGCCACTTTCAGGTCTCCTCACACTGCTGGTGGGTTCCATTTTGTCATAGGGTGCTGGCAGATTACGGGCCTCCCATTGCTGCTGCCAGGCCCGTAATCTGCCATGGGCCCCCGTACCGCCCTCCTCATGCTGCTGCCAGGCCCCTCAATCTGCATGGCATGGGTGCTCCAGTACCCTCCCATTGCTGCTGCACATGCCATGTGTGTCCATCATGGGTCCCTGTACGGGTCCTGTACCCCTCCCATTGCTGCTGTCTCCATCGCCACACTCTGCCATGTGCCACTTTCAGGTCTCCTCACACTGCTGGTGGTTCCATTTTGTCCATTTTGTCATATTACGGTGCCTCCCATTGCTGCTGATTACGGGCCTCTGCCATGGCCCCCGCCGCCTCAGCTGCCCAGCCCGTAATCTGCCATGGGCCCCCGTACCGCCTCCTCATGCTGCTGCCAGGTCCAGAGTGTCTCATGGGTCCCTGTACGGCCTCCCATTGCTGCTGTCTCCATCGCCACACTCTGCCATGTGCCACTTTCAGGTCTCCTCACACTGCTGGTGGGTTCCATTTTGTCATAGGGTGCTGGCAGATTACGGGCCTCCCATTGCTGCTGCCAGGCCCGTAATCTGCCATGGGCCCCCCTACCGCCTCCTCATGCTGCTGCCAGGCTCCTCATGCCCCTGTACCGCCTGCTCATGCTGCTGCCAGGTCCAGAGTCTCTCATGGGTCCCTGTACGGCCTCCCATTGCTGCTGTCTCCATCGCCACACTCTGCCATGTGCCACTTTCAGGTCTCCCACACTGCTGGTGTGTTCCATTTTGTCATAGGGTGCTGGCAGATTACGGGCCTCCCATTGCTGCTGCCAGGCCCGTAATCTGCCATGGGCCCCCCGTACCCGCCTCCTCATGCTGCTGCCAGGCCCAAGTCTCTCATGGGTCCCTGTACGGCCAGGTCCCATTGCTGCTCATGGGTCCCTGTACGGCCTCCCATTGCTGCTGTCTCCATCCCACACTCTGCCATGTGCCACTTTCAGGTCTCCTCACACTGCTGGGTGTGTTCCATTTTGTCATAGGGTGCTGGCAGATTACGGGCCTCCCATTGCTGCTGCTGCCAGGCCCGTAATCTGCCATGGGCCCCCGTACCGCCCCTCATGCTGCTGCCAGGTCCAGAGTCCAGATCTCATGGGTCCCTGTACGGCCTCCCATTGCTGCTGTCTCCATCGCCACACTCTCTGCCATGTGCCACTTTCAGGTCTCCTCACACTGCTGGTGGGTTCCATTTCATAGGGTGCTGGCAGATTACGGGCCTCCCATTGCTGCTGCCAGCCCCTAGGCCCTGGGCCCCTGCCGATCCTCATGCTGCTGCCAGGCCCCCTGTCATGGGCCCCCGCCTCCTCATCATGCTGCTGCTGCCAGGTCCAGAGTCTCTCATGGGTCCCTACGGCCTCCCATTGCTGCTGTCTCCATCGCCACACTCTGCCATGTGCCACTTTCAGGTCTCCTCACACTGCTGGTGGGTTCCATTTTTGTCATAGGGTGCTGGCAGATTACGGGCCTCCCATTGCTGCTGCCAGGCCCGTAATCTGCCATGGGCCCCCGTACCGACTCCTCTGCTGCTGCTGCCCAGCCCCCTGTCATGGGCCCCTGTACCGCCTCCTCATGCTGCTGCCAGGTCCAGAGTGTCATGGGTCCCTGTACGGCCTCCCATTGCTGCTGTCTCCATCGCCACACTCTCTGCCATGTGCCACTTTCAGGTCTCCTCACACTGCTGGTGGGTTCCATTCCATTGTCATAGGGTGCTGGCAGATTACGGGCCTCCCATTGCTGCTGCCCAGGCCCGTAATCTGCCATGGGCCCCCGTACCGCCTCCTCATGCTGCTGCCCAGGTCCAGAGTGTCTCATGGGTCCCTGTACGGCCTCCCATTGCTGCTGTCTCCATCGCCACACTCTGCCCATGTGCCACTTTCAGGTCTCCTCACACTGCTGGTGGGTTCCATTTTGTCATAGGGTGCTGGCAGATTACGGGCCTCCCATTGCTGCTGCCAGGCCCGTAATCTGCCATGGGCCCCCGTACCGACTCCTCATGCTGCTGCCAGGCCCGTAATCTGCATGCCTCCTCATCATGCTGCTGCTGCCAGGTCCAGAGTGTCTCATGGGTCCCTGTACGGCCTCCCATTGCTGCTGTCTCCATCGCCACACTCTGCCATGTGCCACTTTCAGGTCTCCTCACACTGCTGGTGGGTTTCCATTTTGTCATAGGGTGCTGGCAGATTACGGGCCTCCCATTGCTGCTGCCAGGCCCGTAATCTGCCATGGGCCCCCGTACCGCCTCCTCATGCTGCCCCCAATCTGCTGTCATGGCCCCTGTACCGCCTCCTCATGCTGCTGCCAGGTCCAGAGTCTCTCATGGGTCCCTGTACGGCCTCCCATTGCTGCTGTCTCCATCGCCACACTCTGCCATGTGCCACTTTCAGGTCTCCTCACACTGCTGGTGGGTTTCCATTTTGTCATAGGGTGCTGGCAGATTACGGGCCTCCCATTGCTGCTGCCAGGCCCGTAATCTGCCATGGGCCCCCCCCCGTACCCGCCCTCCTCATGCTGCTGCCCCGTAATCTGTCATGGGCCCCTGTACCGCCTCCTCATGCTGCTGCCAGGTCCAGTGTCATGGGTCCCTGTACGGCCTCCCATTGCTGCTGTCTCTCCATCGCCACACTCTGCCATGTGCCACTTTCAGGTCTCCTCACACTGCTGGTGGTTTCCATTTTGTCATAGGGTGCTGGCAGATTACGGGCCTCCCATTGCTGCTGCCAGGCCCGTAATCTGCCATGGGCCCCCGTACCGCCTCCTCATCATGCTGCTGCCAGGTCCAGTCTGTCATGGGTCCCTGACGGCCTCCCATTGCTGCTGTCTCCATCGCCACACTCTGCCATGTGCCACTTTCAGGTCTCCTCACACTGCTGGTGTGTTCCATTTTGTCATAGGGTGCTGGCAGATTACGGGCCTCCCATTGCTGCTGCCAGGCCCGTAATCTGCCATGGGCCCCCGTAATCTGCCATGGCCAGGCCCGTAATCTGTCATGGGCCCCTGTACCGCCTCCTCATGCTGCTGCCAGGTCCAGAGTGTCTCATGGGTCCCTGTACGGCCTCCCATTGCTGCTCCCATCGCCACACTCTGCCATGTGCCACTTTCAGGTCTCCTCACACTGCTGGTGGGTTCCATTTTGTCATAGGGTGCTGGCAGATTACGGGCCTCCCATTGCTGCTGCCAGGCCCGTAATCTGCCATGGGCCCCCGTACCGCCCTCATGCTGCTGCCAGGCCCCGTAATCTGTCATGGGCCCCTGTACCTCCTCATGCTGCTGCCAGGTCCAGAGTGTCTCATGGGTCCCTGTACGCCTCCCATTGCTGCTGTCTCCATCGCCACACTCTGCCATGTGCCACTTTCAGGTCTCCTCACACTGCTGGTGGGTTTCCATTTTGTCATAGGGTGCTGGCAGATTACGGGCCTCCCATTGCTGCTGCCAGGCCCGTAATCTGCCATGGGCCCCCGTACCGCCCCCGTACCTCCTCCTCTGCTGCTGCCAGGTCCAGAGTCTCTCATGGGTCCCTGTACGGCCTCCCATTGCTGCTGTCTCCATCGCCACACTCTGCCATGTGCCACTTTCAGGTCTCCTCACACTGCTGGTGGGTTCCATTTTGTCATAGGGTGCTGGCAGATTACGGGCCTCCCATTGCTGCTGCCCAGGCCCGTAATCTGCCATGGGCCCCCGTACCGCCTCCTCATGCTGCTGCCAGGTCCAGAATCTGCTGGGCCCCTGTACCGCCTCCTCATGCTGCTGCCAGGTCCAGAGTGTCTCATGGGTCCCTGTACGGCCTCCCATTGCTGCTGTCTCCATCGCCACACTCTGCCATGTGCCACTTTCAGGTCTCCTCACACTGCTGGTGTGTTTCCATTTTGTCATAGGGTGCTGGCAGATTACGGGCCTCCCATTGCTGCTGCCAGGCCCGTAATCTGCCATGGGCCCCCGTACCGCCTCCTCATGCTGCTGCCAGGTCCAGAGTCTCTCATGGGTCCCTGTACGGCCTCCCATTGCTGCTGTCTCCATCGCCACACTCTGCCATGTGCCACTTTCAGGTCTCCTCACACTGCTGGTGGGTTCCATTTTGTCATAGGGTGCTGGCAGATTACGGGCCTCCCATTGCTGCTGCCAGGCCCGTAATCTGCCATGGGCCCCCCGTACCTGTCGCCTCCTCATGCTGCTGCCAGGTCCAGAGTGTCTCATGGGTCCCTGTACGGCCTCCCATTGCTGCTGTCTCCATCGCCACACTCTGCCATGTGCCACTTTCAGGTCTCCTCACACTGCTGGTGGGTTCCATTTTGTCATAGGGTGCTGGCAGATTACGGGCCCTCCCATTGCTGCTGCCAGGCCCGTAATCTGCCATGGGCCCCCCTGTACCGCCTCCTCATCTGCTGCTGCCAGCCAGGTCCAGAGTGTCTCATGGGTCCCTGTACGGCCTCCCATTGCTGCTGCTCCATCGCCACACTCTGCCCATGTGCCACTTTCAGGTCTCCTCACACTGCTGGTGGGTTCCATTTTGTCATAGGGTGCTGGCAGATTACGGGCCTCCCATTGCTGCTGCCAGGCCCGTAATCTGCCATGGGCCCCTGTACCGCCTCCTCATGCTGCTGCCAGGTCCAGAGTGTCTCATGGGTCCCTGTACGGCCTCCCCATTGCTGCTGTCTCCATCGCCACACTCTGCCATGTGCCACTTTCAGGTCTCCTCACACTGCTGGTGGGTTCCATTTTGTCATAGGGTGCTGGCAGATTACGGGCCTCCCATTGCTGCTGCCAGGCCCGTAATCTGCCATGGGCCCCCGTACCGCTCCTCATGCTGCTGCCCCCGTAATCTGTCATGGGCCCCTGTACCGCCTCCTCATGCTGCTGCCAGGTCCAGAGTGTCTCATGGGTCCCTGTACGGCCTCCCCATTGCTGCTGTCTCCATCGCCACACTCTGCCATGTGCCACTTTCAGGTCTCCTCACACTGCTGGTGGTTCCATTTTTTGTCATAGGGTGCTGGCAGATTACGGGCCTCCCATTGCTGCTGCCAGGCCCGTAATCTGCCATGGGCCCCCGTACCGCCCTCCTCCTCATGCTGCTGCCAGGTCCCAGTGTCTCATGGGTCCCTGTACGGCCTCCCATTGCTGCTGTCTCCATCGCCACACTCTGCCATGTGCCACTTTCAGGTCTCCTCACACTGCTGGTGGTTCCATTTTGTCATAGGGTGCTGGCAGATTACGGGCCTCCCATTGCTGCTGCCAGGCCCGTAATCTGCCATGGGCCCCCGTACCGACTCCTCATGCTGCTGCCAGGCCCGTAAGTGTCATGGGCCCCTGTACCGCCTCCTCATGCTGCTGCCATGTCCAGAGTCTCATGGGTCCCTGTACGGCCTCCCATTGCTGCTGTCCCATCGCCACACTCTCTGCATGTGCCACTTTCAGGTCTCCTCACACTGCTGGTGTGGTTCCATTTTGTCATAGGGTGCTGGCAGATTACGGGCCTCCCATTGCTGCTGCCAGGCCCCCGTAATCTGCCATGGGCCCCTGTACCGCCTCCTCATGCTGCTGCCAGGTCCAGAGTGTCTCATGGGTCCCTGTACGGCCTCCCATTGCTGCTGTCTCCATCGCCACACTCTGCCATGTGCCACTTTCAGGTCTCCTCACACTGCTGGTGGGTTCCATTTTGTCATAGGGTGCTGGCAGATTACGGGCCTCCCATTGCTGCTGCCAGGCCCGTAATCTGCCATGGGCCCCCGTACCGCCTCCTCATGCTGCTGCCAGGCCCGTAATCTGTCATGGGCCCCTGTACCGCCCCCTCATGCTGCTGCCAGGTCCAGAGTGTCTCATGGGTCCCTGTACGGCCTCCCATTGCTGCTGTCCATCCATCGCCACACCTCCCATTGCTGCTGCCATGTGCCACTCTGCCATGGCCACTCCTCACACTGCTGGTGGGTTCCATTTTTTGTCATATAGGGTGCTGGCAGATTACGGGCCTCCCATTGCTGCCACTGCCAGGCCCGTAATCTGCCATGGCCCCCATACCCCCTGGCAGATTACCATCCCATGCTGCTGCCAGGGCCCGTAATCTGTCATGGGCCCCTGTACCCTCCTCCTCCATGCTGCTGCCAGGTCCAGAGTGTGTCATGGGTCCCTGTACGGCCTCCCATTGCTGCTGTCTCCATCGCCACACTCTGCCATGTGCCACTTTCAGGTCTCCTCACACTGCTGGTGTGTTCCATTTTGTCATAGGGTGCTGGCAGATTACGGGCCTCCCATTGCTGCTGCCAGGCCCGTAATCTGCCATGGGCCCCCGTACCGCCTCCTCATGCTGCTGCCAGGTCCAGAGTGTCTCATGGGTCCCTGTACGGCCTCCCATTGCTGCTGTCTCCATCGCCACACTCTGCCATGTGCCACTTTCAGGTCTCCTCACACTGCTGGTGGGTTCCATTTTGTCATAGGGTGCTGGCAGATTACGGGCCTCCCATTGCTGCTGCCAGGCCCGTAATCTGCCATGGGCCCCCGTACCGACTCCTCATGCTGCTGCCCAGGCCCGTAATCTGTCATGGGCCATGCCCCTGTACCGCCTCCTCATGCTGCTGCCAGGTCCAGAGTGTCTCATGGGTCCCTGTACGGCCTCCCATTGCTGCTGTCTCCATCGCCACACTCTGCCATGTGCCACTTTCAGGTCTCCTCACACTGCTGGTGGGTTCCATTTTGTCATAGGGTGCTGGCAGATTACGGGCCTCCCATTGCTGCTGCCAGGCCCGTAATCTGCCATGGCCCCCCCGTACCGATCCTGCTGCCAGGCCCCCGTAATCTGTCATGGGCCCCTGTACCGCCTCCTCCTCATGCTGCCCCTGCTGCAGGTCCAGAGTGTGTCTCATGGGTCCCTGTACGGCCTCCCATTGCTGCTGTCTCCATCGCCACACTCTGCCATGTGCCACTTTTCAGGTCTCCTCACACTGCTGGTGGGTTCCATTTTGTCATAGGGTGCTGGCAGATTACGGGCCTCCCATTGCTGCTGCCAGGCCCGTAATCTGCCATGGGCCCCCGTACCGCCTCCTCATCATGCTGCTGCCAGGTCCAGAGTGTCTCATGGTCCCTGTACGGCCTCCCATTGCTGCTGTCTCCATCGCCACACTCTGCCATGTGCCACTTTCAGGTCTCCTCACACTGCTGGTGGTTCCATTTTGTCATAGGGTGCTGGCAGATTACGGGCCTCCCATTGCTGCTGCCAGGCCCCGTAATCTGCCATGGGCCCCTGTACCCCCTGTACCGCCTCCTCATGCTGCTGCTGCCAGGTCCAGAGTGTCTCATGGGTCCCTGTACGGCCTCCCATTGCTGCTGTCTCCATCGCCGCCACACTCTGCCATGTGCCACTTTCAGGTCTCCTCACACTGCTGGTGGGTTCCATTTTTTCATAGGGTGGCAGATTTACGGGCCTCCCATTGCTGCTGCCAGGCCCGTAATCTGCCATGGGCCCCCTGTACCGCCTCCTCATGCTGCTGCCAGGTCCAGTGTCTCATGGGTCCCTGTACGGCCTCCCATTGCTGCTGTCTCCATCGCCACACTCTCTGCATGTGCCACTTTCAGGTCTCCTCACACTGCTGCTGTGGTTCCATTTTGTCATAGGGTGCTGGCAGATTACGGGCCTCCCATTGCTGCTGCCAGGCCCGTAATCTGCCATGGGCCCCCCGTACCGCCTCCTCATGCTGCTGCCAGGCCCGTAATCTGTCATGGGCCCCTGTACCGCCTCCTCATGCTGCTGCCAGGTCCAGAGTGTGTCATCATGGGTCCCTGTACGGCCTCCCATTGCTGCTGTCTCCATCGCCACACTCTGCCATGTGCCACTTTCAGGTCTCCTCACACTGCTGGTGGGTTCCATTTTGTCATAGGGTGCTGGCAGATTACGGGCCTCCCATTGCTGCTGCCAGGCCCGTAATCTGCCATGGGCCCCCGTACCGTACCGATCCTCATGCTGCTGCCAGGCCCGTAATCTGTCATGGGCCCCTGTACCCCCGCCTCCTCATGCTGCTGCCAGGTCCAGAGTGTCTCATGGGTCCCTGTACGGCCTCCCATTGCTGCTGTCTCCATCGCCACACTCTGCCATGTGCCACTTTCAGGTCTCCTCACACTGCTGGGGT